GGTATGGATTGCATCTCAATGTAAAGAAAACAAAAATCCCCTCCACTGAACCAATAAACAACATTCTTATCAATGGAGAAAAGATTGAAATTGTCAAGGACTTCCTTCTTCTTGATTTAACTATCAACACTCATGGAAGCAGCAGTCAAGAAATCAAATGACACATTGCATTAGACAAATTTGCTGCCAAGACTTTTTTATAGTGTTGAAGAACAATGATGTCAGCTTGAGGACTGAGGTTCACCTGACCCAAGCCATGGTATTTTCAATAATCTCATATGAATGCGAAAGCTGGACAGTGAGTAAGGAAGATCATAGAAAAATGGATGCTTTTGAGTTATAGTGTTAGAGGAGAATATTGAAAGTACAAGGGGCTACCAAAAGAACCAATAGATCTGTGCTGAAAGAAGTACAGCTAGAGTGCTCCTTGGACGTCAGGATGGCCAAACTTCATCTCTCATACTTTAGACAAATTGTCAGGAGGGACCAGTCGCTGGAGAATGATATCATGTATTTTAAATTGGAGGGTCAGAGGAAATGAGGATGACCACCAGCAAGATGGATTGGCAAATTGGCAGCATCAATGGGGTCAAGTGACAATAGTTGTGAGGTTAGCCCAGGATTGGGCAGTGTTTTGTTCTGTTGTGCATAGGGTTGCTATGAGTCGGTACCGACTCAATGGCACCTAACAACAACAAGAATTATAGTAAAGTTTATTCTGAAAAAAAAAAGAAAAGAAAGAAAAGCTTTTAATGCAAAGTAATTGGTTATTGTTGTGATTCAAATGACCTTGCAGTCTAGTGCTTATCCTTCAACACAGGGACTCCAAAACTCCATATGTTGTTGGTGTTGTTGTTAAGTGCTGTCAAGTTGGTTCCGACTCATAGCGACCCTGAACAGGGTTTCCGAGGCTGTAAACCTTTATGGGAGCAGAAAGCCTCATCTTTCTCCCGCGGAACAGCTGGTAGCTTCGAACTGCTGACCTTGCGGATCGCAGCCCGATTCCTAACCACTATGCTACCAGCCCCTCTGACTCATAGCGACCCTGTATAGGCTTTCAGAGTAGTGGCTGATGGCCCTGAACTGCTGACCTTGCAGACCAGTGAATTACCACCCAGTACCACACTATATAACCCTAACCACACCATGTAAGGAGCTCTGGTAGTGTAGTGGTTAGGAATTGGATTGATAAACTCACATTCAGCAGTATGAAACTACCAGCTGTTCCATGGGAGAAAGATGAAGCTTTCTGCTCCTGTAAAGATTTACAGCCTCGGAAACCCTATGCAGGGTCACTACGAGTCGGAACCAACTCCACAGCACTTAACAACAACAACAACCACACCATACAGAAGTGTATAAAGTATGTATATAATCTTAATATCTAAGAATAATAATATATACCTTATGGGCAACATGAATTAGACTATTCCCCCCTTCTTTTTCTATTATATAATTGCTATACATGATTTTTTTTTCAATTCCATTATTTTTTCTTTATTTTTCTTTTCTGAATTGAGTGAAGGTTTATAAAGCAGATTCAGTTCCACATTCAACAAATCACACACTTTGTTTCATTACAGTTTTTGCAAAACCCTCCATGCACCATCAGTTTGTTATCCATGTTTTATATAATATATGTTACGATATTTCATTAAAACATAATTTTCTTTTTTATGTTGTGGTTAGGTGCTATCGAGTCAATTCTGACTCATAGTGACTTTTTGAACACTGCTCAGTGACAATTCACAATTTGTGTTACACTTGAGTCCATTCTTGTTGCCATTGTGCCAATTCATCTTGTTAGGAGTCTTCCTCTTTTTTGCTGACCCTCTACTTAACCAAGACTTCTTCATGGACTGGTCACACC